CAATTTTTGTGATCTTCTAGCATCCGCTAGAACTTAATCTTCTCCTTTTCACTTTCACATTCTCTTTGTGCGTCACAAATGACCTGACAAAGATTATCAGCAGACTCATCTTCTACGGCTACCTCTTCTTCAGCTTCTCCCATTGCAGTATCATTGAAGCACGCATCATCGGGAATAATATCATTGTCGTCCTATTGTTCTTCTTCACCTTCTTCCATTACAACGTCGGTTTCTCCGTGCTTCGTCCAACAAATATAGTTTGGCATGAAACCCGACTTGAACAAGTGTGAATGAAGAGTCCTTGAGCAAGGATATTTCACCGTATTCTTACATATGGCACATGGGCAGCACATGAAACCATCGCGTTTGTTTGCCTCGGCCGCACGTAATAAAGAATGCATGCTGTCCATGAACTCTTGGGAGCGACGATCAGCATTGTACATCCAATGCCGACTCATCTGCATTACATGACATAAATACCATATTATAACCTAGAACATAATTAGTTAATTATACAACATGCATACCACCACAAAAGCTATAAATTTAAGAAATCCTCGCTACAATGTAGACAATCCCAACTACCACTAAAAACACTAAAGCTAAAATGCACTTCAGCAGCACAAGGATTTCGTGACCAATCCCAACTAAAACAGACAGATCCCCCGCTTGTTCAACATCTTTGGGCTTCTTCGGCTGGATCACTGCCTCATTAACCGTCATATCTGCCTGTTGTGCAAGATATTTTTGCACGAGTTCAACATACTCTTCCTCCCAGTAGAAGCCTGAACATCTAGTGCCATCCCACTGAAATTAAAATAGAAAATTAGAACTTTAATCACAACCATCATGAAAATAGGTATAAACTAACCATAGTCATTAAATACGATAAAATAACTCACATTGCGATCCGGACACTTGTAGAAAATGCGACTCTTTTTGGGACCCTCCTTCTTCACTCGGCACTCCATCATAATCTTCGTCTCATCACAACACTTGTCGCATGCAATGAGTGGGAGGCCCGGCCTAAGTCGCTTTGGAAACCCATGAAAGGCCGAGGACCCGGAAGTAGTTGCCATCTACTCTCTATACTCATTTTTTAATACACTATAAATTTCTCATTTTATAAACAAATAAAATTAAAAAAACTCTAAAATTCTCTATATCTCTAAACAATGAAGTGTGCTATGCATGCTACAAATGAACGGCGAATACTAGTTTTTAATAGCTACTTTAACCTTCCTTCATGTAAATATGCAAGCTTGAAGTTTAAAGATTTCCAGAGCGTTTAACACTACTCTGCTTGTCGAGAAAGTTGCTAGTGTTGTGTCGTTGGCATTTTTCATAGCCGTGGCCATGGTCATTGTGTTCTCGTCTTTTACTACAGCAGGTAAGTAATTCACATGATATTTCCACAAATTAACAGAAGAATGGGAGTGTACACACATAACAATCGATTATCGTTTATATTTATATATATACTACGTTTGGGTACGGTGATTGACAGACTACTGCGACGATATCGGGATGTGTGAATAAATAACCATCCGTACTAGTTGACCTTGCTTACGTGATCATCTCGGCGAGCATTCCTCCACCGGACAGCACCGTACTTGGCCACGGAAGAGCTCCGATTCTACGAGGAAGGGAACACGGTCTTCCACGACCGTTGCTGCTCTCCCTCGTAGAATCAAAGCTCCTCCTTGACGTCCGTTACCGCTCGGCAGAGAACATGCTCGCCGAGATGAACACGGTCCGCAAGTTCAACTAGCTACTTTAACCTTCTTTCATGTAAATATGCAAGCTTGAAGTGATTTTGAACTCAAATTGCTTACAAATGAAAAAAACCACAATAAAGAACCATATATATATATAGTGAATAAAATGAGATAAGACAATGGTGAAACATAAGAGTATGAAGTTGGTAACCTTTAGAACCGAAGAATCGATGGAGGAATCGAAGAAATCGACGGAGGAATTGAAGAATGGATGGAGAAAGAGCAAGAACTATAAGTTATTTTGAGCTCACATTGTTTACAAATAAAAAAAACATCATAAAAACAATATATATATATATAGTGAACAATATGAGATAAGCCAATGATGAAAAATGAAAGTATGAGATTGGTAACCTTTACAACTGAAGAATCGACGGAGGAATCGAAGAAATCGACGGAGGAATCGAAGAATGGATGGAGGAACAATGGAAGGAGGAAGCAAGAACACTAGTGCAGTGAGCTTCAAAATGTGCTGAGCTCGGGCTCGGAGAGGAAGAAGGAGACGGCCGGGATATAAAGGGGGACCTTTAGTCCCGGTTGGTGGCTCCAACCGGGACTAAAGGTAACTTTCCAACTCCCGGCGCAGCCACGGTCCGGGAGTAGACTTTTACTCCCGGTTGGAGCCACCAACCGAGAGTAAAAGTCTACCTTTAGTCCCGGTTGGTGGCTCCAACCGGGACTAAAGGTCACTGCCACCTCTGTCTGGCCCAGTAGCCGTTGGGCAGGGACCTTTAGTCTCGGTTGGATCCACCAATCGAGACTAAAGATATCTCTAGTCCTAAATGTAAAAAATACCGGGATTAGAATCCATTTTGATCCAGGATCAAAGATCGTTCTCTACTGGTGTATGCACTCGCACAGTCGCAGATCCCAGCAGTTATGCTCTGGCGCCAGTGGCCATGCGTGTCGTCTACGCCGTCGTAGGCGGTAGCTAGGCCGTAGGGGCCGGCTGGTCGGGTGCCCCGCCGTGCAGCGCGCGCAGCTGCCGCTAGCTCGCTGCCCGGCCCGTAGCATGCATGCATGCATGGATCGGACACGAGAGCACGTACGTACGCACACGGCACTGCCCGGTCGGTCCGTCACTGCAGCACGTGCACATGACAAAACGTTCGGCGCGCTCGACGCCGTTTGCTTGGAGCAGATCGATCGGCCGCGCGGTTCGGCGCGCGGCGGACACACATGCATGCATGCACGGCCAATTACCGGCGGTCAAAGAGAGCATCGTCATCAACGACTAATTAATCAGAGTAATCTATTCGAGCCCGCCCGGCACATCTCGATAAGGCCTGCCGCTTCCGATTTGATTCTTGGCTGGTTTCTTTCCGGTCGACGACGACGCGATTGACCGATAAATTATACCGGATGTCTACGTACTCCCTCTTTCTAGAAAAGAATCAATTTCTAGCCTAAAAATTTATCTCTAAAAGAATTGATTTCTAAAGGTGAATGGTCCACGGATCCACATTCATCTCTCTCGTAGTCCGGGTCGTATTTAACACAACCTCTCTCTCCTACGCTACTATTCCAAACGATACTACTTAATTAGCCTTCTCGTACCTAGAAAGCTATTCCAAACGATATTACTTAATTAGCCTTCTCGGTAACAGAGAGTACAGTATTATGACAAATACGGCAGGGATGATGTGATCTGATGTGTAGTATGCATACTGTACATGTGGATCAGTGGATCACCAGTACTACACTGCAACTAACACGTGTCACTTGCATGAATGGACCGCATGGTCCGCATCGACGTTGTTTAGTTTGTAGATTCCACGGTGCATGCATGGCACGTCTCTTTCTCTCTCTGTGACCTGTGTGTGACGTGGCTACTTAAGTCGACCTAGTATATTTGAAGAAATATAGAGGTCGCCGATGCCTACTCTCGTTCCTGTGCTAACTGGCGTGCGTGCACGTGCTGAGTGCGGTGGTATATCGACACAAGGCAGGTCGAGCATGTGCGGTGGTACACTGGCGCCACTGCCACTGCTTTGCTGCAGTAGTCACTGGAGATCAAGCGACGAATAATCATCATGACGAAAGCACTGAGGTTGCCCATTAAGAAGCTCGCTCGGGCCTTGCATCTGCTCATCTGACATCTGTGCACTTTGCTACGTGTACGTGTGTGCATCAGTGCATGCATATATTTTTTTTATCACCCTCCTCCTTTCACCGCTACTACTACAGAAAAGTTTTGTAACAACACTCTTATTTTTATGGCTCAGATTTGAGAATTTTTGAAAACATATTTATAGGGCCGGTTATATATCCAACGCCCCCGCATCGTCCTTGGAAATTGTGACGACGGATCCAAACGCGCAGATCCATCGGTGCAATGGTGCCCACGTTCTGGGTAACCAAAATGTACAAGGAACGGGAAGTGACGCAGCCAGACATATTGACATATATATGTACACGGGAAATGAGAATTTAGCATGTGTGCATGCATGTACATGGTCCACATGGGCACGGACGACGACAGTGTTTCTGTAGCTTGAATCATACGGCTGGTATAACAGTGGCCTATACGTTCGTGAACCGCCCTAGGCATGGTTTCCGATGACTAGCTGACTGTTGAGCCAACATGCGCGCGGCGGCATATGTGTGCATTTATTGGGCCCGTTCGGCTTGCTGAATCTTGACTGAAACTGGCTGAAAAACGAATTGTTGTGAGAGAAAAACATTGTTCCGGCTGAAAAACAAGCCGCACAAGCCGAATATGGGGTAAGCCGAACGATCAAATGATCCAAACGGCGCGGCTGCAACAACTATTCATTCAAAAGGGTGCAGGTACAAGACAGGACAAAAGGATAAAACAAAGAACAGTTTATTTTTTACAAGAAATATGATTCTAGGTTTTGATTTGATTCAAACTTTTTTGAGTTTAACTAAATTTATAAAAAATAGTATCAACATTTATAACTCTAAATAAGCATATTATCACTACTACGGAAATAGTTTTTGCCAACAACATTTTCACCGCCAGTTTTATTAAAACCATTGATGATAATGTACCACCATTGGTTCAGAATAAGACGGGTGGTGAAATCATTTTGGCACAAAAACCGATGGTGAAAGCCAGGGTTTTACCCTAGTTTGGGACATGAACCGACGGTGAAAATCATTTTTTACCACCCGTTTGTGACAAAAAAAAACTGCGATGAAAACTATAGCCGTATGCAAAACAGAGCTGGTGATGAAACACTGGTGACTAACATGTCATTACATGTGCTTCTTCAAAGTGGCAGACAGGCGGGGGCTTAGCGTCCCAGAGCACTTGCACATATGTTTCAGAATTCCTTTAAGTACCCATTCTGTCAATACAATGCGTGAATGAAAAGTATGACACATCACCTGTATACATGGAGTTAGATGTGTTCCTGACAGTATGGCCTTCTTTATTTGTCCACCGATTGAGTCAACGCGGGGTCTCAGGACGTCTTCAACTATGTTTGTATCATCAATAGCATCTACGCTGAATTTGACCTACGAGACCAAAAAAAAAAAAAAAAAAAAAGTAAACCAGAACAGCTAGAGGTTGGATCGGATAGATGCAAGTTCGTCAGTACCAATAATGTATTGGGTACGCTGTAGGAATTCTTGCAGAATTCACGGTTTTCAGGTGGTGTTGGTTTGAATTCAGACACACCTTCTGTAACCTGCAAATAATATGGGAAACAGCTACCATCATGACACAGATGCACTGAAGCCTGAAGGTCACTATAAGTCTAGCAGAGGACATGGATGTACTGAAGACAGTTAAATGAAAAAAATAGACGTGCTACTTTCTAATCTAAAAGAAATTCCAATAGACAAGCATAATTTCATACAGTACCTGATTCATTACCGATGGTAACTGATCGACAAATTTGCTCAGGGATACCATAGCTTCTTGATCATACTCACGTAAAAAACCTCCAGCTAAATCAAACAAAGCCTTCCATGCATCTCCTAAAGTCATGACATCACATCTTTTTTAAACAGAACATGAAGCATGTCAAGCAAAAGTTCATACCCTTGTTTTGTTCTTTCATTTTACAAATTTCAGCAGACAACAGTGCACACTTTTACCATGTCAGAAAGTTATATATGTTATTGTGTGTGGCAGCAGCAACACGATATCATGAAGCACTGAACTCCAGAAGCTACAAACTATAATTAAGAACAAACCGTCAACACTAGACGGGGTGATCAGGTTGCTTGCTCAATGGATCCATAATGGAAAGCTTGTGATAAAGCATAAGTTTGTTATGGCTCTTTCAGCCAAAACAAATTTATTGAATAGATAGATGCAGTGGTGGAGCTTCACGTTAAAGTTAGGAGGGGCCAGGAGGGGCCATTAGTGCTAATCCACATAGATTTTCAACATTTACTGCTCAATAAGCACTATTACTCTTAAGAAACAATCGAAATCAGGGGTGGCCATGGCCCCCTTTGGTCTCAATGATCCTCTGCCACTGGATAGATGACAGATAACATGAGCAGCTAAGTTGTAACCCAACAATCACCTGATGCATTTCTGGCCACCGAGTAAACAGGCGAGGCCTCCATCATAGGCATCAGTTGACTAAAAAGGGGCCCTATCTGCATAAAACAAACATACTATTAAGAGAGAGTAACTTCCAAAGGCCAGTAGGAAAGAGCATAAGGCAGCGTTTCACATTTTAGACTGAAATCAGCTCCAAACGCAAATTGTTTGTTGGAAGCTTAGAAAAGAAGTATTGAGTAGCACCACATATGTTCCTCAGATACAACTAACACTTTCTCATTCCAACAAAGTGTTATGAAGGCCCATGATGCATTTTCTATGCTCATTTCTGAACCAAAGTAACTGATCCTGAATTTTCGCTCCCATTGACTTCACAATAGATTAGCTGACTGAACACATCACACATATAGCCAATTGCAATTTCAGCATTTTGTTTACCCTTTTTTTGGTTGATAGTGGCAACGCCCTCCATAGAAAACATTGGACAAACAAAACACATGACAGTAGTGGCTGCAGTACAATATCAGAGAACATCTACATTCTACATATGCACAGTATGAAGCCAGGTTAGACACATGAGCATGGGTTGCCTAGCCAATCTAGAATATTATTTAGCATTCTACAATGTTTAAGACAATCTGCTGTCCACGAGGCTCTGATCCGAACCAGGACAATTAACCATCAACCATTCGGTGATACTGGATGTCAATATAAACAGGTTAGTATAGCTCAATTATGCAATGAATGCAAAACAACCACTCGGCTGTGTCCATTCTCTGTTTTTTGCATCCTTGAGGGCATTTTCTTAAGAGTAGTCCTTAAACTTGTCTCGTGGTGTCACTCAGGTCCCCGAACTATCAAAATGCATTTTCAGGTACCCGAATTTGTCTTATAGTGTCATTGTTAGACAATCTTCTGCATCCCTTGTGTGAATGCGTAGCAGGTGAAGGCGGCGCCGAAAAGGGCTCCCTACTGTTGCACTGTAGCAGCTGCAGGGGCAGGCGCCGAACGGCTCACCTGCCGCACTGTAGCCACAGCAGGAGCAGGCGCCAAAGTCAGCTCTGCTGTCACATCTAGTAACTGTAGCAGCATGGCAGCTGTACTAGGACTAGATGGGTAGAGTTGTATATATAGTTTGCCACTGCAACTCAGTAAAGAGAGTTCAGATTTGCCATCTCCTATACAGGGTTCCGGCCAACACTGGTGTCACTACTGTGTGTGTGTATGCTCTGTTCTCCCTCCCTTCTTCTATCTCTAGCCAAAGTGTGTGGTCGGCAACGACAGTTCATGGTCGGCATCGCTAGTGTGTGCTCGGCAACACTAGTGAGTGGTCGGACATCTCCGTACCGGAGATCGAGAGGGGCTATCAAGTGGTATTAGAGCCGTACAAACGCCGTCGCCGGACTAACCGCTAGTGATGACGGACGGTTCGGAGATAGATGATAGCAGTGGCACTGTTGTGGCTGCCCAACCATGACAGGAAGTCGTTGTTCGCACGGTGCGGGAGGTTAGCGGCACCAGTTGGCCGACGCTGACTCGCACCAACTATGGAGAGTGGTCGGTGACCATGAAGGTCAAGCTCAGAGCCCGACGGCTCTGGAATGTTGTTGACAAGGGCACCGAAAATGAAGAAGATGATATGTCAGCGTTGGAGGCTATCCTCGCTGCTGTACCGACGGAGTATAGGGAGCCGTTGGGGGCGAAAAGCTCTACTAAAGAGGCGTGGGAGGCTATTGCGGCGACGCGCGTCGGTTCCGACCGCACAAAGAAGGCGACGGCCCAGCTTCTGAAGCAGGAGTACGCCAACCTCAAGTTCAAGGATGGTGAATCGGTGGAGAACTTCTCCATCCGCCTGTAGACGCTCATCAGCAAGCTGAGGAGCCACGGCGTCACCATCGACGAAGAGGAGGCGGTCTGCAAGTACCTCCACTCCGTGCCGGCAAAGTACATCCAGATCGCTCTCTCCATAGAGACGATGTTGGACTTGTCTATCCTCACCATTGAGGATGTGACAGACCGTCTGCGGGCGACAGCAACGAAGGACAACGGCAAACTACGACAGAGGAGGAGTGGGCTGCTCGGAGGAACTCCGGGTAGCCTCCTCCAGCCGCGGTGGCGATGGCAAGCGCCGCGGCAAGGCTTCTTCGGAGAAGAAGAAGCAGGTCGACCCCAACGCCTGCCGACGCTGCGGGAAGACGGGCCATTGGGCACGGGAGTGCCCAAATCGCAAGCAGGAGAAGAAGGCTGAGGATCATCTGGCGCAAGCTGATGATGAAGATGACGCCACTATCCTAATGGCGACGTTCTGTGCACTGCACAACGTCGAGGCCGAGGAGAAGGGAGAGGTGACGACGGTGGAAGGACCCTGAAGGTTGTCAACCTCGAAGAACCGCGCGCCCAAGTCCACCTCGGACGTGTGGGCGGCGAGCAAGAGCAGCGGTGGTACCTGGAGTCTGGCGCTAGCAACCACATGACAGGCTTCAAGACAGCCTTCTCCGAGCTCGACGACGATGTGACCGATACGGTGAAGTTCGGTGACGGCTCACGGGTGGCAATCCGAGGGCGCGACACCATCATCTTCAGGTGCCAGAACGGCAAGCAACGCGCGCTAACGGATGTATATTACATCCCGCAGCTGCGTTCAAGCATCATAAGCATTGGTCAGCTGGATGAGCACGGTAGCGAGGTACTGATCAAGGACGGAGTCCTCAGGATCAGGGACCGGGAACAACGACTTCTTGCCAAGGTAAAGAGGTCCCAGAACTGGTTGTACCTGCTTGACCTGAAGGTAGAGTAGCCGGTGTGCCTGGCGGCAAGGCACACTGAGGAACCGTGGCTGTGGCATGCCTGGTTCGGACATCTCAGCTTCGACGCGCTTGGTTGGCTGGAGAAAATGGTCCGAGGGCTACCCCACATCGAGCACGGAGGCAAGCTGTGTGACAGTTGCTTGGCCGGAAAGCAGATAAGGCTGCCGTTCCCAAAGGCGGCCAAGTATCGCGCGATGGACGCTCTCGAGCTCGTCCACGGCGACCTCTGCGGACCAATCACGCCAGCCACAAACGGTGGTCGGCAGTACTTTCTCCTACTCGTGGATGATTGCAGTCGCTACATGTGGTTGCAACTCCTAACGAGCAAGGACGAAGCGGCGGGGGCGATCAAGAAGTTCAAGATGCGCGCGGAGGCCGAGAGCGGCAAGAAGCTCCGTGTGCTGACTGATCGCGGCGGCGAATTCACTTCGGTGGAGTTCGCTACGTACTGCGCGGATCAGGGTGTGGTGCGCCACCACACCGCGCCGTACTCGCCACAGCAGAATGGCGTGGTGGAGCGACGGAACCAGACAGTGGTCAGCATGGCTTGATCCATGATGAAGGCCAAAGGCATGCCGGCAAGGTTCTGGGGTGAGACGGTGACCACGGCGGTGTTCATCCTCAACCGCGCTCCCACCAAGGCCCTAAAGGGCAAGACGCCGTTCGAGGCTTGGCATGGACGAAAGCCGAGCGTGTCCTTCCTCAGGACATTCGGCTGCATCGGCCACGTTAGGAAAACGAAGCCGATCGTCACCTAGCTGGAGGACAGGAGCACACCGATGGTGTTCCTGGGCTACGCGGAGGGTACCAAGACGTACCGGCTTTACGACCCACGAGGAGACAAGGTACTTGTCTCGCGCGACGTCGTGTTCGACGAGAAGGCGGTGTTGGCCCACAGGATCACTGGCTCAGGTGAGTCGACCACTCACCAGTCTTGCCGAGCACTTGCTAATGTTGCCGAGCACCCACTAGCTATGCCGATCACGAACAAACGTTGTCCGATCACACACACTATGGCTAAGGTAGAAGAAGAGGAAGAACAGAGCATACACACACAGCAGAGACACCAGCGTTGGTCGGAGCCCTGTATAGAAGATGACAAATCTGAACTCTCTTTACAAAGTTGCAGTGGCAAATTATTTATACAACTGTATCCATCTAATCCTACAAAAGCTGACATGCTGCTACAGTGACTAGATAACACAGCAGGACTGACTTCTGCGCCTGTCCCTGCATGTGGCTATTGCGCGGCAGGTGAGCCGTTCGGCGCCTGCCTCTGCAGCGGCTACAGTACCACAACAGGGGCCCAGTTCGGCGCCGCCTTCCCTTGCTGTGTATTCACATAAGGAAGCAGTAGATTATCTAACAATTCTTCCCCTAATCCTGCTGCTAACCCTTGTACCCCCTCCATGCCGATCATCTCCTTCAGCTCCGTGAGTCGAAGACGTCCGAGCGGCTTGGTGAGGGCATCCGCGAGTTGCCGACCAGTTTCGACGAACTCGATGACGATCTGCCCTCCATCGACACAGTCCCTGAGAAAGTGAAACTTTACGTCGATGTGTTTGCTCCGGTCGTGCAGAACCGGATTTTTCGCGAGGGCGATGGCGGACTAGTTGTCCACCATCTGTGCTGGTGGTTGAGCTTCCATGCCGGTCAGCTCGCCCAGCAGCCGGCGCAGCCACACAACTTGGCATGCTGCTACGTACTCTGCTTCGCACGTAGATAGCGCCACCACCTTCTGTTTCATCGACAGCCATGAAATTAGAGCCGACCCGAGGAAGACGAGCACGCCAGAGGTGCTCCGTCGTCCATCGATGTCCCCCGCCATGTCTGTATCGCTGAACACAGTGAGTTGCAGCCTACTCCCGCCGGTCTTGGGAAAGATGATCCCCTGATCCATCGTCCCCATGACATAGCGCAGTAGCCACTTCACCGCAGCCCAGTGATCCTCTCTGGGATCCTCCATGAAGCGACTGACGTAGCCCACGGCGAACGCAATGTCCGGCCTCGTGTGGACTAGGTAGCGTAGACCGCCGACGATGCTCCGGTAGAGTGTTGCATCCACCTTCGCCGCGGTGTTGGCTTTTGTCAGCTTCAGCTGCTCCTCCATCAGAGTCACGCATGGTTTGCACTCAACCATGTCGCTCCGCTCCAACAGCTTCGAGGCATACGCGCTCTGACCGAGCGTGAGTTCCTCTTTTCCCTATCTCACCTCGATGCCGAGGTAGTAGGAGAGTGCGCCGAGATCGCTTATTCGAAAATGAGCCGCCATCTCGCGCTTGAAGCTGTCAATGTCCTCCGCACGCGCGCCGGTGACGATCAAGTCGTCCACATACACGCCGACGACGAGCTCCTCCTTCCCCAGTCGCAGCGTATAGAGCGCGTGCTCGGTTGCGCACCGTTGAAATCCAAGCTCGCCCAGCGTGGCGTCAAGCTTGGCGTTCCACGCTCGTGGGGCCTGCCGCAGCCCGTAGAGCGCTTTGCGCAGTCGGAGCACCCTGTGCTCCTCTTCCTTGATGGCGAAACCCGGAGGTTGCCTGACGAAGACCGTTTTTGCCAGTTCGCCGTTGAGGAAGGCCGATTTAACGTTCAAGTGATGGACGCACCAGTCTTTTGTTGCTGCCAAAGCTAGTAGCAAACGGACAGACTCCATGCGCGCTACTGGCGCAAAGACTTCCTCGAAGTCGATGTCCTCGCGCTGAACAAAGCCTCGGGCGACAAGGCGCGCCTTGTGCGTGACAATGGCGCCGAGCTCGTCCCGCTTGACCTTGTACACCCACTTCAGGCTGATCGGACGGCATCCTGGAGGTGGATCGACGAGCTCCCAAGTCTCGTTTTCCTCGATCGCCTTCATCTCCTCTAGCATCGCCCGTCGCCAGTGTGTATCACGCTCGGCCAGCGCGAACGTGGGTGGTTCCTCTGCACTGATGAGCAATAGCTCTGGGTCACTGAGCAGTCTACCCGCCAGACCTAAGGGCCCTGTGCCGCCGATGATGTCATCCAGCCTGCGGAACCACACCTCCTCACCTTCGTGAAAGGCATCCACGAACTCATTAATGTCACTTGGAGGTGAGGCGAACTCGATCGGCGTCGATGGAGTTCCCTGTTCCGCCGGACTGCTCGGCACAGCACCTGAAGTGCTCGGCACCCTGGTTGCAGTGCTCGGCACTACTTCTGGACAGCTCGTCATAACTCCTGCAGTGCTCGGCACCACTGTAGGAGTGCTTAGCCTAAGTCTTGGAGTGGTCGGCACCACTGCAAGACCTCTTGGCTCCGCCACGGGAGTGCTCGGCACCCATCCTAGAGTGGTCGCCACCACTGCAGAATCTCCCGGCACTCCTCCCGGAGTGCTCGACATCCCTCCTGAAGTGCTCGACACTGCCCCAGGAGTGCTCGGCACTCCTCCCGGAGTGCTCGGCACCTCTTCCCCAGCGTCTCCACCACCGTGGATGATCAGGTGCTCGACGACGAAGGTGCTGGTGAAGCCGTCAGCTTTCCCCGTGCTCAGACTGTTCCAGTCCCAAGCCGCCTTCTCGTCGAACACGACGTCGCGCGAGACAAGTACCTTGTCTCCGCGTGGGTCGTAGAGCCGGTACGCCTTGGTACCCTCCGCGTAGCCCAGGAACACCATCGGTATGCTCCTGCCCTCCAGCTTGGTGAGGTTCGACTTCGTCTTCCTGGCGTGGCCGATGCAGCCGAATGTCCGGAGGAAGGACACGCTAGGCTTGCGTCCGTGCCAAGCTTCGAACGGCGTCTTGCCCGACAGGGCCTTGGTCGGAGCGCGGTTGAAGATGAACACGCCGTGGTCACCGCCTCCCCCCAGAACCTTGTCGGCATGCCTTTGGCCTTCATCATGGATCGGGCCATGCCCACCACCGTCTGGTTCCGTCGCTCCACCATACCATTCTGTTGTGGCGAGTACGGCGCGGTGTGGTGTCGCACCACACCCTGATCCGCGCAGTACGCAGCGAACTCTACCGAAGTGAATTCGCCGCCGCGATCAGTCCTCAGCACGTGGAGCTTCTTGCCGCCCTCGGCCTCCGCGCGCATCTTGAACTTCTTGATCGCCGCCGCCGCTTCGTCCTTGCTCGTCAGGAGTTGCAGCCACATGTAGCGACTGCAATCATCCACGAGCAGGAGGAAGTACCGCCGACCACCGTTTGTGGCTGGCGTGATCGGCCCGCAGAGGTCGCCGTGGACGAGCTTGAGAGCGTCCGACGCGCGATACTTAGCCGCCTTTGGGAACGACAGCCTCTTCTGCTTCTCGGCCAGACAGCTGTCACACAGCTCGCCTCCGTGCTCGATGTGGGTTAGCCCTCGGATCATCTTCTTCAGCCGACCAAGCGCGTCGAAGCTGAGATGTCCAAACCGGACATGCCACAGCCACGGTTCCTCGGTGTGCCTTGCCGCCAGGCACACCGGTTGCTCTACCTTCAGGTCGAGCAGGTACAACCGGTTCAGGGACCTCTTCACCTTGACAAGAAATCGCTGTTCCCGGTCCCTGATCCTGAGGACTCCGTCCTTGATCAGTACCTCGCTACCGCGCTCATTCAGCTGACCAATGCTGATGATGCTTGAACGCAGCAACGGGATGTAATATACATCCGTTAGCGCGCGGTGCTCCCCGTTCTGGCACCTGAAGATGATGGTGCCGCGCCCTTGGATTGCCACCCTTGAACCGTCACCGAACTTCACCATACCGGTAACATCGTCGTCGAGCTCGGAGAAGGATGCCTTGAAGCCCGTCATGTGGTTGCTGGCACCAGAGTCCAGATACCACCGCTGCTCCTGCTCACCGCCCACACGTCCGAGGTGGACTTGGGCGCGCGGTTCGTCCCAGGTCCTTCCACCGTCGTCACCTCTCCCTTCTCCTCGGTCTCGACGTCGTGCAGTGCACAGAACGTCGCCATCAGGATAGTGGCCTCATCATCATCATCAGCTTGCGCCAGATGAGCCTCAGCCTTCTTCTCCTGCTTGCGATTTGGGCACTCCCGTGCCCAATGGCCCCTCTTCCCGCAGCGCTGGCAGACGTTGGGGTCGACCTGCTTCTTCTTCGAAGAAGCCTTGCTGCGACGCTTGCCATCGACACCGCGGCTGGAGGAGGCTACCCTGGAGTTCCTCCGAGCAGCCCACTCCTCCTCTGTCAGCAGCAGTTTGCTGCTGTCCTTCGTTGTTGTCGCCTGCTCCAGGCGCTCATCCACCGTCCGCAGACGGCCTGTCACATCCTCAATGGTGAGGGTGGACAAGTCCAGCATCATCTCTATGGAGAGAGCGATCTGGATGTACTTTGCGGGCACGGAGTGAAGGTACTTGGAGACCGCCTTCTCTTCGCCGATGGTGACACCGTGTCTCTTCAGCTTGCTGATGAGCGTTTGCAGGCAGAGGGAGAAATCCTCCACCGATTCACCATCCTTGAACTTGAGGTTGACGTACTCCTGCTTCAAAAGTTGGGTCGTAGCCTTCTTTGCGCGGTCGGAACCGACGCGCATCGCCGCAATAGCCTCCCACGCCTCCTTAGCAGAGCTCTTCGCCCCCAACGGCTCCCTGTACTCCGCCGGTACAGCAGCGAGGATAGCCTCCAACGCTGACATGTCATCTTTCTCATTTTCGGTGCATTTGTCAACAGCATTCCAGAGCCGTCGGGCTCTGAGCTTGACCTTCATGGTCACCGACCACTCTCCATAGTTGGTGCGAGTCAACGTCGGCCAACTGGTGCCGCTGACCTCGCGCACCGTGCGGCCAACTGGAGCTCTCCATAATTTGATCAAAGCTATTCCCAAAAGGTCGCTCAATAGAAGGACAGTAGCTGAGGCTCTAAATAATCGGAGATGGGTGGCAGATATCAAAGGGGCGCGTACTGTCCAAGTCTTGGAAGATTATCTCAATATTTGGGATCTAGTGGAGGGCTTGGTCTTGCAGCAGGATGTACCTGATCAGTTTAGATGGAAATTAACTCAGTCAGGTACATACACCAGCAAATCAGCGTATGTTGCTTTCTTTGTTGGGACCATCAAATTTGCACCATGGAAAAAGATTTGGAAGAGTTGGGCTTCATTCCGGTGCAAGTTCTTCATTTGGTTGGCTATCAACAATCGATGTTGGATGGCAGACCGACTTGCTAAAAGAGGCTTGCCCCACTTGGAGGCTTGTCCTTTTTGTGATCAGGAGGAAGAAACCATACAGCACATCCTTGTGGGCTGTCTTCACCAGGCAGATTTGGTTTTCAATTCTCCAAGCCCTACATCTACCTGCTCTAGTGCCCTCAACGTCAGACACCAAATTCTCTAGCTGGTGGAGGAAAGGTCTTCGGCTTATTCCAAAAGATTTGCAAAAGGGGTTCAACTCTTGGTAGCTTGGGAAACCTGGAAACACAGGAACTCTTGTATTTTCGAGCACGCTAGGCCTAGCATTCCAGATCTACTCCAAGTGATAGCTGATGAATGCAGTTTTTGGGGGTTGGCTGGAGCTTCTAAACTCCAAGAGCTCCTTGCCCAGTCGCTATCCTTGGCCGCTTAGGTTGTGTCTAGGTTGATAAGGGTTTTAGTTGTTGCCTTTTTTATTTTTTTCTGTAAGAGTTTGGTTCCTGTTGGCGGTGTGTGTGTGTGTGTGTGTGTGTGTGGGGTGGTGGAGTTTTTTTGTACTTGGGCGGTTCCTGCCGGCCTTCTGTTTCTTTTTTCTTCTTAATGAAATGACACGCAGCTCTCCTGCGTTGTTCAAGAAAAAAATATATATTGTTGAAAACCCCACACTGACACTCAGTTAGCCTACAGTCAACACCCTCTTTCCTTACTTTTCAGGTATTACTAACTAGCAAGAAGAATTGAACCAGCAACTTGTATCCCTACAAACTAATTTTAGGTCCAGATTTTCTCCTAGTCAAAGTTAATTAGAAAGTTCAATATTAATTCCTCTACTGATCCATACATAAGTTTACTCCTTTCTATGCTTGCTAGTCAGCATCTGCAATTTGCTACTCTTATGCAGGGAAACATTAAGTCGTGAAACAGAAAAAGGCACAACCATTAACCATAAGGTAATGAAGCCCAGACTAATACCTGTTCAAAGTAAGGCACAGCCTCCGAAGCCGGCCTATTGTTGAATGAGACAATGGCGTTGGCCTAAAATGACGATAACCCAACAGAGAAATAAGACCAAAACCACTTGGCGGTCAGAAGTATATCAGATTATATGCAATTTTAAGGAACACAAAGCTTCTTTTTTTACTAGTTCTACTGAATTATTAAATCAAACTGAAACTTTGCAGACAGATTTCTCATCAACGAAACATCAGCGGACCTTTGGTATCTTTTCAGAGAAGTAGCTTCCCACCAGCAGCTGAAGCAGTGCCCCGTTGCTGCAGACCATCACAACAGCACAATTAAATGAGCAGAATACAAGACATCAACAAAACAGAGCTCCAGGCTTCCTCCGTGTCAAATCATCGAACAAGTGGCGTGCGACATTCCTCGCCGAAATCACCTGTGGCCGACAGAGTAGAGTGGGAGCTCCGCGATGTCCTGGGCGCTGAGGCCGGCCTCCGGGAGCCCCGACGCGAGGAGCGCGTCGTAGCAAGCATGGAACCTCTGGAAGACCTCTCGCGCGGCGGCCTCGTGGTTGAAGGTGACGTTGTACGGCACGCACACGACCAGAAAGCCCTCCCGCGCCAGGAGCTCCAGCAGGTAGCTGCGAGCAACCAACCGCGCGATGAGCCAAGCGCACCAGTGCGAGTCCAACCGAATGTCAATGAACACGTTTTTGCGTTCAAGTGTGACCGACCGCGGAACGGATGGAATCCTTGAACCCACGCGCTAACGAACTTACCCGTAGGTGACCTCGGGGACGGCGCCGATGAAGGCGCCGCCGAGGAACTTGATGACCGCCAGAGGGCGTCGGCCGCGCGGGGACGGGAAGATGAGGCAGGAGTGCTCCCGCAGGTACGGTTTCCTCATCGGTGGCGCCGTCCTGGGACTGGGGGGCCCGAGCACGTCCAGCGAGCCGTCGGGGCTGAGCGACGCGCGGCAGGGGAAGAAGCCCCTCGATGGTATGGCCCGGTGGGCGTGACGGCCACGGGTAGGATCGGGGCGGGGGTTCGCGGCGGGAGAGGCGGCCGGTGCGGAGCAGAAGAGGTGAGCCGCAGCCGTGGATGGAAGGGAGCAGGTGAAGCACGGTGAGCCGATGAGGTGAGGCGGGCAGGCGCAGCTGAAAACCTGAAACGAACAGTCGAAGACGAGCTGACGATTTGGCCACGAGGGCCGCGGCGTGGCCGGGCGTTTCTGCCGTGGACGAGGGAAGCCTGTTTCTGCGCTGTGGGCCTGTGACCGTCCCGAGGCTGCCAGAGAGTTTTGGCCACGCATTGACGCAACTGCCGGCTTGCGGATAAATCGATGTCACTGAGCCTTTGAAGAGCAACTCTCAAATCCAAACCAAGCAATTATTACTTTGTATAATTCCAGCAAAAACTTGAAGGAATTAGCCGTACAGTTCATGTAAAGTTTTCTTGAAATTCCCACGTTAACTGGAAGCGACATCTCCTCATTCATATTTCTTGCCAATATTACAGAATTTACAGTTGCCCAGACGAATAGATCTAAGATGCGCATTATGAAGTACGAAAAGAGGTTATACAGGATTATGCTGACACGGAAGACATGACTTTCAGAATGAGAACCTAGCCAAAAGCATTGCAGGTTTAATGCCTGGCGATTTTCCTTGTAAACCTCAGTAAATTCGGCTGTACAGTCATACAATTGGACTAAAATTACAGCTATATACAGTAACAATGATAGAACCGGGGGAGGGACGAGACATCGCCTGATCAGCTAGCACTGTCCTTGTACTGGAACTACTTTATATACACAGTATATGTTGGCAAAATTTGCTACCTCAAAATTTGGGTGTGCTTGTGTTCAAAGACTCGTGAACAAAAGCACGGTATGTGGTCGAAGTCAATCGGTATGAAGAAATCATAGACCAAAGTCAGGTGCAAACTCTTATCATCTACTAGCTCCTCTCCATAGGCATATCCAACAACTTAGGTCATTTTGTTCTCCCCAAGTCCCCCACCTGCATTCATTGTAACAGTGAAAGCAGATAGAAATTTATAGGATGGCAAAAATGAAACTTCAACTGTGTCTGAAGAACAGACCTTACAACGTAGGGATAGGGAACAAACCATTCCCATTTGGATAATCCAGCATAGAGTAGTATACACACTTGCCAAGCATAAATGACCTGGATACTCCAGTTACAGATCCAAAAGCCATTCCATTCAGCAGACCCCTCAGTCTGATGAGCAAGGAGCTAACCGAGGACAGACTCTTTGCAGCCAGCAAGTTGCAGTGCATCAGAATATTCAGTTGCATTTTAACATGGTACATAGGAAAAACTCTTCATCGCGCGAATATGTGCATGGTGATTCATCCTTGTTGGAAGCTCACTCCAGGCGTACCCAGTGCAGAGAGCTCCCGCTCTGTGTGGGGTCTGGGGAAGGGTGTCAGTGGCAAGCCTTACCCTCGCTTGTGCAATGCGAGGAGACTACGACTCGAACCCGGGACCTTCCGGTCACAGGCGGTAAGACTCTACCGCTTGCACCAGGCCCGCCCTTCCGGAAGCTCACTCCAGCATTAGTGTTTTACTCTTCTGACCTGACTGACCCTCATCACACAGATGTATCCTTCTGAACAGGCTTTTGAGGGAAGAAAAGGATAGCAAGCAAGGAGCAGATACTTAAGCCGATAACACCATCAAAAGGATGCAGATGGTAAGTGCCAATCATCCAAAACGGAGTTTCAGGTTTCGGTGTTAAAACACCACTGCTTTGTATTAAATAACTGGCAGTCATGATTCCAGAACGCAGGCCAATGGGTGCAGCAAGCTTTCCTTTTGTCCTCTGCTTAAGCCCAAAAAGCACCAGAGAAAGTAGCAAGAAACCTGGTACCGAGGGTAGTGACCTGCCATCCAATTGTATCGATGTCACTATTTTGCAAATGGTTTGCAAAAGTGAAACATGCTTGAATACCAAAAAAAAAACATGGATAAAATCATATATAGGCATCACAAACTGAATATTTCATATCTTTCGAAGCTTTTGAAAAAGGGCAACTAGTTAGTTCATTGATGTGACATATCATGCTTGGTTTTATAGTACCATGAGGTATGCACAGAAAAAATAGAGTTCACCGCACCCAACATCCCCCTTTTTGGATCCCCACTGCAATAAATATATCTCCCAAGTCTAGTGATGGTTACCTTGCCATTACATGTACATATCAATAAGGCTTTGCTTGGCTGCACTCTAATCCACCCCAATCCACATGTATTGAGGTGGATTGAAGTGCAGCCAAACAAACCCTAAAAACGCTGAGAAAACAGGTGATGGTGGGCAAGAATTGACGTACCGATGAATTAGAGAAAACACAAGTCCAGATATCATAATGGCATTGTAGTAACCAAGATCAACAGCAATTTCCTCTGGAAGCCATGATCTGAAAACCATTTCTTCCACAACAGCAATGCTAGTTGCTGTGGCAAGCCCTCGAAGAGCTAGCAAAAACACATTACTAGAAGACTTGATAAGATCAAGGGGTCTAGCTAAAGATGAAGAGAACCCTGTCCGAAAAGTTGCAAAACCGAGTAGAATGCTTATTGAGTGCACCAACCCTACAACTGTTACACCTCCAGCCAAACCTTGAAAAAATTCCCACAGCTGCAATAAAACATTAATTATTACATACTATATACATAAACCAGCACTCTTCAGTTCTCTGAGAAATACCAAGTAAGGTTCTTATGAGATTATAAGTTTATACCCTAGACGCAGACCAAATATTCATCCCGTATTGCTCAACTGGATCCTCATAGCCACGTATCCTTTTGCCCCACAGCATGACAAGTATCATTATAGAAACATACAATCCAACAATGCAAGCATAACCAATAATCCCAGTTGAAGAACTTATTGTCCAACTTTGAACAAGTGTTGGCAGTAGAGGAATCACAACAGGGGACCATAGGATGAGAACCATTAAAGAAAAGCCCATAATCCTATAATGCAAAGAAGGAACATTTTAAGGACAGCCTAAGAACAGAAAGCAAACAACAAAAGGTATAACATGTCTACAATGGTGAAATTTCAACTGACTAATCCATGGAAGGGCCAAACTTGTACACATGAACCATGGCTCAAGTAACAACAACTACTACTACAGTACCACTCAATAATGAACCACTGAGTGATACCGTCCCAAATGCTTCATATAGCTTAAAAAGATGTAAGGCCCTAACTGCTTATCCAGAACAGTGAAAGTAATGGTCCTGAAGCCACTTTCTTTAGAAAATAAACTATGGGGGTTCAAAAATGTGTCAGCTTTTCACTGACCCAAAAAGAAAGGGTAGCCTCTCTCAGTACTCGCTAAAAATGAAGAAAAAAGAACGACAACATCTTGGAGCTACTACAGAAAAAAACCGAAAAAATCAAATCAAAATTCAAGCTAGTATCTGAAACACAAGAGTAGGGGCACCACATCTGGCATTTTGAGAGGACTACTGAAGCATCTTTATAATTTTGGCTTGGTTAAGTTGCTAGATGTTAAAGAAGAACAGCACGGTCTGTAGTCGGTCATCTCTAGTTGTATGCCACTGATGCACAGGAAAAATGAAACTGAAGCAACAAAAAGAGTCGATATGCTTTTGGTAGAAATACTATTTTTCAAGAAAATAAAGAGACAATAAAAATTAAAATAGGAAAAAAGTAAATACAATAATTCTTTTTTAATGAGAACAAATGAAATGTAACTACATCTATTTGAAAGAGATGAGGATTGAATCTCTCCATCCATTAAAAGGAGGAATAGGGTTCAAAACATCAGTCATCCCAGTCAGACTTCCCAAGGGGAACACCCAAAAACACTGATTATGGGCCATCAGCCCATCACCTTCACACATAAACATCTCAAACCTGAACTCAACACAAATAGAACACAAATAATCAAAAGTATAAAAAATAAACACAGTAAATCAAAATATATGAGAAATTTCATGAATTACTAACATAAACCATCTGATGAAGACACACCAATTAAGTTCTTGTTCTCTATTCAATTGCTGTTCTCTTGCGCATAACATAAGACTAACCTCTGAAATAAGGGCTGTTCGCTGATACGTAAGAATGATATAAGCCTATCAGTTAAGCTCATAGCACCACGAATTCCGCCCCAGAGTAGAGCAATTTTTCCAACGAACCTCAAAATTCCACCCTTTTGTCCGAGTTCAGCTAGAACTGCAACAAGCCTGCTTGCAGAAAGTCAAAACATAATAAATATATTCACAGGAAAAACGAAAAAAGAAAAGGAGTAGCGACAAAGGAACAAAACAATAGTAACATTAACAGACCTTTCATGATCAACCTCACCATCACCCTTTGTGGGAACTACCGGCCCTGCAACAGACATGGCTTTCTCAGCAAAACTGCTCATCAAACTGTTCTGGCTCTTTTCCTGTGCAGTTTCCTCATGTTTGGCACTTTCGAGCTCAACAAAATCCTCGCAATTTTCATCCTTATTTTTCTGAAATATGAAAGTTGAATGTTTTATGAAAGAATGGCCTGATAAGAAGAAATAAAGGTAAATTTTGTATGGAATACCAAACAAACGTGGTATTGGCTAGTTCCCACCACAAATGCTGAAATTTGCCCGGTACCATTATCAAATCGTAGTCACTTGCGTAGGACACCGCAATGATTATTTTGTTCATTTCAGGTCTGTGGAGAGAGAGGTGGGGGATATGACCTTTTTGCCCTTGTATTCATCCTCTTCCTCCCAGCATTGTGAAGGTAACCCTCTTTTTCCCTCTTTTCACATGCCACTGCAGCTTGACTTGTCCCCTCCCACGCCACCGCCATTCCAACTATCTGTTTCAGCCACACCCACCCCCCTCCCATCCCAAACCCCCGACTAAATTGAGGACCACCACAAGCACCTGCGCCCCCATTTGCTCACCTCTCCTCACCCTCCAGCTCAATGTTGCGCCGCTGCCACATGTACCAAGCACCGACCGAGTAGTAGGGGGCACCACTATTCGCACAACTTATCCATCTGTGACAGGCGAGGCATGTCTTTGTGGGCACCACTACTCGCACTACTTAACCAAGCCCTTGCATACATCGAGGTCAAAGGATGGGAGCACATAATGGTGTGCAAGGGAGAAGATCATGAACATGTGGATGCTCCAGGTGCCGATGCCTTTGACATTGGTGAGCATGGTGGCAACGGAGTGGTCGTTCATGTTGACAATGGCAGCCGCGGAGATGATCCTAGAGGCATAGTTGCAGTCAAGGTCATGGAGGTAGGATGCCTTG